TACAGCTTACGACTAAACTAATATCTAATTGTAGAATGGGCCTAATCGATTGTGATTGGTCAATTTTTTAGCGCTTACAGCTTATGACTGTATTGTAAACGACACCTTAGTGGCCTTCTACAATAAGATATAATACAGTCGTAAGAAATAGACCAATCACANTCGATTATTCTTCTGTAATTTGTCTGTGATTGGTCAAAAATCTTGTTTCTGATTTCTGATTTATTACTAATATCTTATTGTAGAAGGGCCTTTAGAGATATATTCTAATATATGCATAAAAGAAATCAAATACATACATGAAAGAAATATTTTTATCATAAGATAATTTTATTTAATTTTATTTCCGTTTTTCTCACAAGTTTTACAAATATAACATACTCTCGATCATCTCTTACGCGCCAACACAAAATACTGATATATAACTCGATCTGTCATATGCAATCACAACCTCACCGCAATGACAGCTAGTAGTATACAACGTGAACGAAGCGCACCTTCGAGACAACCAATTAGCATCGCGGAAAAGAGGCAACAATCAAGATCGATAGAATCGATTCTGATTGTTTGCACACGCTTTTTCATATAGGATATATATTTTTTAAACAATCTCTTGCTGACGGATGGTATTATATGTCTTCAAAGTCACGACGTCATCGTCCAATGGTAATAACAGTAAAAATAATATTATTAATAATATTTAAAATAGTGCTGTCACATTATCATGTTTAAAACAACACACATATTATGCAACTAAAATAAATAACTGAAATAAATAACTGTTGTGTCTCTGTGAACGCGATATATTGTATTGTTCTACAACTAAAAATTCTACAGTAGTTTTTACCAACTGCTGATAACATTATTTTATTTTAAAAAAAGTAGAATTATAAACATTTATTTGTATAAGATTAAAGACACATTATTATGTTGCGTTAAACTAATATTAATTAAGAAACTAAATAATTAAAGCAATGAGTAAAAGATACCCCAATGAAAAACTCGCGAGATAACTTGTACGCGTAACTTTTATTACTGAAATATAAGTCATACATACATAACAATTATATAAAAATATATTTAGATTACACATAGACCCGTTTTTCATGTGCCACCACCTAAATATAATAATGTAACGCATATAATATATATAAATACAATATTATAATTCAACTTTCAACCCCAAGGATGATGAGCGGGTTTCTGTAAATTCGCTTGCTGAACCGCAGCTGCAATTGCATTTTCTTTCGCAGCTATCACATCTTTCACCTGGGGAAAAAAAAAATACAATTAAATAGGAATATATTATCAAAAATTTATAAGAGAAAACAATAAGAACAGATCGTATATATTTCGGTAACAATACTTTAGCTTCTTGCTCGCTCTGGCTAATTTGCTTGTCAACATCCTGCTTTCGTAGTTCCGCCGCAGTTTCTGACGCGTTTCTTTGGATTGCCGCAGCTGCAGCTGCTTCCCTAGCAGCCGCCACCCTTTGTGCGGCTGCCACCGCGTCTTTCAAAGTCGCTAATCTCTGCTGCAACGCCACGAGTTGTCGTGCACTGGCTTTAGCCTCGGCTTCGGCGTGTTGTGAGATTTCCTGCGATCTGCAAAAATGTAGCGTACGATAAATGAGAGAAAGAAAATGCGGTTCTGCGAGAATACAATCACACACGTAATGACGTAAAATCGAGTGAATTAATTATTCGTACCTCGCAGCAGCTTCTCTCGCCGCTGCCTCCTTCGCTAATGCAATTTTCTGCTGAAATAGCGCGGCATGCTTCGCTTCCGCAACTTTGTGCTGAGCCACGACAACATTGTTGTTCGCCTCTTTCGCTTGCTGAATCGCGCGCAAGACCTCCGGCGGATACACAATTGTGGGTGTGCCAGGAACTGGATCTTTCAAAGCCTGCCGTATGCAAATTGATAGCAAATAAAACTGTGATTTTCTCAAAGTTTTATATTTAAAATAAAATTTACATAAAATAAAATTTACATAAACACATGTAAAATCAAAATGTGCATACCTGAAGAGCGACATTGTGTGTGGCTTGAGCTTGAACCTGTGCGAGGGCTACATCAGCAGAGACTGGCGGATTCCAAGATGAAGCTGCAAAACCTGTAGGACCCCAGGCGGGAGGACCAAAGGCTGGTACAAATCCAAAGAAATCAGGCGATCCGAAAAATGCTACACCACGCTTTTGCTTTTTTCCTATCGATTTCAGTTCCACTTCAGACGCAACTACAGATAGCAACAAGATCTATAAAAACAAAACAAAAAAATCCACATATCTATTATCGTTCAAAATAAAAAAAATGATATTTTAGAAATCTTGAACAAAGCCAAAGATGTTTGAGAGCTTCTGATTACCGTCACGAGAGTCTTCATCTTGAGTGATATTGCTGATGATACTGAATCTTCCACAGTGGAATCCTGGTATATATACAACTTATGATAGACGCGAAGGAGAATGCTCCACCGCCTTTGGGATAATCAGGGAATTAATTAGAACTATCATAAGGTGTAGGTAAAAGTTCATGTATTACAAACAAAATTATAGTCTTCGTTTTTAATGATGATTTTCTGAAAGGCGTGTGCTGTACAATCACTGTGCGCAAGACTATTTATGTCCTGGAAATCGATAAGACAAAGATTCTATCTCGACTTCAAACTTAAGGAAGTAGTTACTCAATGGTGATGTAGCAAGTACTTCCGCTACGCTATCGCGTCAAAATAAATGTCAGATAAATTTATTTAATCGATATTATTATTTTGAAAGAGAGATTGTGTGTTTGATTTCAATCTTTACGTATTTTTTATCGACACGTGCGAGTTTTATAAAATATTCAAGTAAATAAAAATAGCAGCCAGCAGTGTTATTTAAATATGTGTATATATTTTATTATTAGATTCAAAAACTTACATATTTGTATTGTCTGTTAAAGTCTTGTACATAAGGTTTTTTTTAAATATATTTAATATATAATATATAATTAATATATTTAATATATAAAATTTCAAATTATACTACTTTATAAAAATGTCATACATATTCGTTTACTTACAACTAATAGATGTGTCTTTATATGTTTGTAATATGTAACGTTATTTATAAATTAAGGAACATAACAAAATCGCAAGTAAAACTTGAAATTCGTATCTGTATATATATTTTGTTATTATATATATAAAATTAAAAAATTAGCAACAAATTTCTGTAACGAGAAAGTAAGAATAACTATGAGCGACGGAAAAATTTTAGTCTAAAATTAACATTAATGTTAACATTATTTTCCATAAGTATTTGGTTACACTTTATCGGTTAAATTCCCGTCAGATCACGAAGAATTTCTGCGTTCGTGAGAGAACGCACGTGTCCTCTCACCGCGCTCGGTCCATAAAAGGAAGTTTCGCTGCGAGGATCCGACAATTGCCTCACGTTCGAACGAAGGACCGTTTCTTCGGCTAGGGTTTTGCTCGCTTTCCAGTTGCTCGAAGACAAGTACGGATCATTATTTTTCGACAAGTGTTTGTAGTACTTGGCGGCATGAAAATAACTATCTTCTTTTGGCGATTTCTTAGGCGACACGTATTTCTCATTAGTTTTCGCGCGCTTAAAATACTTGCCGGTTTCTGGATTTTTGTATCCGAAAGCCTCTTCGTAAATCACTTTGGGCGTCGTTTGAACGGAGATGTCTGAAGCGTAAGCCGCAATGTCTCTGTAACCAGTCCTGGGAACTTTACGATTTTTTCGGTAAGTCTGTGATTCCTGTCTCTTCGACTCCTCACGTTGCTCATCATTTCCGCGGGATCGATTTTTATTCTTTTGTTGTCGTTTACGAACCACTGGATTGTTGTGACTATCTATTTCTGGCACTTCCTTCAAGTGCACGTATTCTGTAAGCAAATAAAAAAAACGTAAACGTCAGAGCTCTGTAATGCGTCGTATCGTCGAGTTTCTTATACTTACTCTGTTTCGGTAGTTCTTTTCTGTAAGATTCTTCAAATTCCTGCTCCAAGTCTTTCCCGTAATATTTCGTATGTTTCGGTTCCACTTCGTAAGAATCCTCTTCGGTTTCTTCGCGTTTTTCTTCGTGCTTGCGACTCTCCTCTTCGTCTTCTTCTTCGTACGAGTCGCGCGACGACGTTTTTGGAAGTTCGGCGTACTTAGCGCGATAGTCCGATGACGAATTTTCCTCCTCTTCATCATTGCTCGGTGACGAATAATTCTTATATCTCGAATTTGAATTATCATCGTCGGGATCCTCGTCACTTTGCGCTCTATATTTTCCGAATCTCTCGTCGTATTCTTTAAAGGGGAAAGACATCGAAGGCTTGAAGTCGCTTTCCGTCGGTGGCTCTTTAAACTTTTTAGATTGCTGCTCATCATCGTCATCTTCGGAACTTTCATATTCTTTTTCCGGCTGTTTGTATCCTGAAAAAAATATATTAATATATATATATAT